ACTACCGCCGGCAGCCCAACGACCTCATTCGTTCGTCCGTGGTGCTGCAAACCGAGATCAATTTGGTGGAGTGCGGTGTTGTTGGCATCCCGATCAGACATGTATATTCGCAAATCTTCGGTGAAGTCCTGGTTGAACTGCTCCCACAATNATCGCATGTATTCGGTATCTAGGTGCACTACCGCCGGCAGCCCAACGACCTCATTCGTTCGTCCGTGGTGCTGCAAACCGAGATCAATTTGGCGGAGTGCGGTGTTGTTGGCATCCCGATCAGACATGTTTATTCGCAAATCTTCGGTGAAGTCCTGGTTGAACTGCTCCCACAATATTTTGGCCGGAGCGCCGTCAAGAATAAGGGTAACGAATAGTTCACGCAGTTGTCTACCCGTGTTAAATATGACCGCCTCCTGTAAACAAATTATGTACTCGTCGTCGTGCTTTATAATTTCATNGGTTGAACTGCTCCCACAATATTTTGGCCGGAGCGCCGTCAAGAATAAGGGTGACGAATAGTTCACGCAGTTGTCTACCCGTGTTAAATATGACCGCCTCCTGTAAGCAAATTCTGTACTCGTCGTCGTGCTTTATAATTCCCATTGCTCTGGCGGCGTCCTGAAACGTGTCGTAGACGGTGTCATCGTGCGTTCTCAACTGTTCGAAAGATCTTGCTGGTTTATGGTGTAGAAGCAGGCGCAAGTAGAAAACATCACCTTTGTCCGGGGACATGGCGGACACACGCGCAACATGTTTATCGGACGACCGCGGTGTGACATAGTTGCGGAATTTGTCTCTGAAAAGCGTCCCCTGACGGGCCTTGGCTNGTCCAAGTAGGTAAGCGAATCAAATGTTTGGTCAGTAGGCCTCCCTAAGTAAAGAAGTAGATCGGACGTGGACGCCCGTGCCGCCACCTTTTGCTCAGCGCGTGAAAGAGATTCGTCTACAACAATTTGCTGTTCGTTGGGAAGGTGCAGTCGGAGAGAACTGACGGACGGGTTACGTTCGATGACATGGAAACCCAGCAACCGCCACGCAGCCTCTGCAGCTGATATGTAACGAGCTGAGCGGTATGCCTCGATCTCGTCGCCGTCACATAGAATCTTCGCCTTAATAAAATTAGCACCTTTGTTTATATACTTGTCTATGTACTTGACTATCGCACTACCGGTGCACACGTCGAAACACATGTGGCAGTTGTATTTGGAAAGGAAATATTGTACAGGGCGATCCATTGGTTCGTAGCGAAAGATTCTACATATTTGCCGTTAACTTGTTGTAGTTTTCGCAGCCGCCGAAAGTCGCGGAGCAGCGCGTGACATCGGCGTTGTCACACCGCGCACACTTCCCGAGCACTTCGCCGAGTTTAAAATCGGCTGTTTTGCGTTTGGAGCTAGGCGGGGTGGCAGCGAAAATGTTGCGAGAAGCCATCTACTCGGTGTGGGGAGGATTGTGAATGAGGTGTGGTGGGTGGGCGCCGACCGTGGGGCGGGGACAGAGAGCGAGGGAGATAGATAGAGAGAGAGGAGAGAGATAGAGAGAGAGAGTCAAAGACGAAGGGGCACGTGGTGGTCCGCAGCATTCCGTGTGTATATAATTTGCGCAAAGAAAAACGAAAAAAAAAGCGCAGGGAGTCAGGAAAAGACTGAGGACACCGCCACCGCATAAGGAACGGAAGAAAGTAGCGCCCAATAGGAGCGAGAGACATAGGAAGGAGAGAGACACGAAGCTGTACAGCAGCAGCGATGGAAAAAAAAAAAAGGATGAAATTGTTGTGTTCCCTCCCGGAGTGGTCTGCACACGAAAAAAAAAAGACCCACCGTTGCCGATGTAAGAGCGAGCTAGAGACCAAAAAAAGCCCACGAAAAAAAGACCCACCGTTGCCGATGTGAGAGCAGAGCGGGTCTCGGAAAGAGAGAAACGCGGGATAAGAAAGCCCGCGCGCAGCACCGATATGGGCCGCAGGAGCGGTAAGTGGCAGCGTCCACCGCCAACCGGACCGCAAAACGGCCCCCGGGCGACGAAAATACGCCNGTGTTCCCTCCCGGAGTGGTCTGCACACGAAAAAAAAAAGACCCACCGTTGCCGATGTAAGAGCGAGCTAGAGACCAAAAAAAGACCACGAAAAAAAGACCCACCGTTGCCGATGTGAGAGCAGAGCGGGTCTCGGAAAGAGAGAAACGCGGGATAAGAAAGCCCGCGCGCAGCACCGATATGGGCCGCAGGAGCGGTAAGTGGCAGCGTCCACCGCCAACCGGACCGCAAAACGGCCCCCGGGCGACGAAAATACGCCCTTTGAAACGGAGGCACGAGGGCGATCGAGAGCCGTTTTCTGGGCCGATTTCGGAGTGATTTGCATACTGAAACCAAGTGAAAAGCCTGCTGTGCTCACAGCGCCCGACAGAAATTGCGCAGAAAGCGTTGTGGTCCGCACGCACGCCTGTGAGCAAAAAGATAAATGCTACAATTGTTATATATATTTGTTTCTGATTCTTTTGTTTTCTTGTATTTTATCGCTCTGCTAACCATTGGGGTCCATTTTATTTTGGTATACCTTTTCTAGGTACGTTAGCCTGTGACCACGGAAATTGACCGAGTCAAGTGCTGGATTAGTACGGAGAGATCGAGACAGAAAGAGGTACTGGATAGAGAGACCGGGATGGTTTTTAATGTGAAGACAACAACAACATATATATTGAGGCGGGTGTGGGAAGCGTCCTCCTTTTTTTTGCTGTTTTCGATCGGTTTCCGAGGGCCCTTTTGTCGAACGGTCGGTGCCGTATCCTTTAATTTTTCTATAACGGGCCGCACTTTTTCAAAAAAGAAACTTTTATCATGGGGTTTTCTTTTTCCGAGTGGTTTGTACCCAAATTTTCTTTCGTTTCCCCGCGGCGTCCGTCGAATGTGCCGGATTTGGAGACCACGGGCTCTCCATTTTTTGTGGACTTGAGAGCTAATGTATGTGAGAAACAACAATAACAACAATATTAGCAGATACCAACAGGCTGGTTTATGAACTGTTTATGATTGATTGTTGTTGTTGTTGTTGTTGTTGACTTCACATTAAACCGTATGCCAGTTGC